TGCTTGTTAAACAATCCACCCCGCGACAATACCTTTAGTGGCCTACTAAAATCTCTACATTTATTGACATCATACATGTGACAGGGGCATTTCCCGTCCCCTATGTGTAGCTGCAAGGTGAAGAATGCCCCGGCCCGGCCGCAACTGATTGGGCTAGGAGTGTGTGTGTGGGGGGGGGAAGGGGGGTTTAGTGACATGGACAAAACTTAATCCTTATATAATCAGGATCAGGGATCTCCCTAGCCTTAAAGCCACCTGAGCCACTGGTGAAGGGGTGCATGCAATTTCTGGGGGGGTTGCTGGTGACACCGGCAAAGAGCCTCTGCACTCTCTTAGCAACCTGGGACGCTCTGCTGGTGTGCCACCCAGCTCCTGGCCAACAGTGACGTCACTGGTTGTCAGGAGCTGGGTGGGATGCCGGCCAGAATGTCCCAGGTTGCTAAGAACTTGGTGGGGGATGTGTATGGCTCTTACACATCTCTCTGCCCGAATCTTAGCAGCCTGAGACACACTTGCCGGAAAAGGGGAGGAAGGCACACTGCAAACCTTGTGCCCCCATGTGACCCAAAGGGATGCCATCTGAGGCAAACATCCTTAGGCTGCTTCATTATAGGGGATTGCCCTGTTCAGGATCTGCTACTGTTAGCATTGCACCGGGACTGTTGACTTTGAATCTGTTGCTAGCTACACGTCTATAGATCAGGCCTGACCTAACTAAGAAACAGACTATAGTTCCTAAAGCCCAAATCCAGCTTGGGCAGAGACCAAACAAAAACTTGAATCCCCCAGCAGCTATTATATTAATAAAAACCGCTCCGGGTGACACCCAGCCTCGGGACACCCCTGTTCTGGGCTGAATGATGCCCAAGCCCACAGTTGGGCTTTAAAAAAATGTTATATTCCCTGATGTACAGATAGCAGTGTTGATGGATCAGCAGGACGTGGGGTGTTCCAATTGTCCTACTAGTGAGCTAACTTGTTGCTGCCTCAAAGCTGAAATTTAATTTGTTTATATTTTGCCTTCTCTGGTTCCTCCTTTCCCTTCTCATCAACATGCGAATGGAATGCTTTCCGGTTTATATTACATACTTTAATTTGGAGTCAGGGAGGCCATCACTGGGTCTCTGTGCTTCTGCAATGCAAAGAGATCATGGCTAGTAGGAGCGGTCGTCAGGGTCTGTTTATGAAAACATCACAGCTCCCTGCCACTGTGCTCCTAGAGTCCTAATACAAGCAGTGGGCTGGCTTTTTGGAGGAGTTGTCCAAATATCAAAATGCCTTGATGGGTAGGTGTCAGTCTGGAGGAGTGGGCATTCCTAGGTAGACTGTTCTAGGAATGCCCATATGTGATGCTTAGCCTCCAACATTGAAAGAACTGAAATCGAGTGAATGAAGTGGGCTGGCTCTAGGAAAGGGATAACCAAATATCAAAATGCCTTGATGGGTAGGTGTCAGTCTGGAGGAGTGGGCATTCCTAGGTAGACTGTTCTAGGAATGCCCATATGTGATGCTTAGCCTCCAACATTGAAAGAACTGAAATCGAGTGAATGAAGTGGGCTCGCTCTAGGAAAAGGATAAGCAAATATGAAAATGCCTTTATGGGTGGTTGTCAGTCTGGTGGACTGGACATTCCTAGGTAGACTGTTCTAGGAATGCCCATATATGATGCTGAGCCTCCAACATTGAAAGAACTGAAATCTAGTGAATGAAGTGGGCTGGCTCTAGGAAAGGGATAAGCAAATATCAAAATGCCTTGATGGGTAGTTGTCAGTTTGGAGGAGTGGGCATTCCTAGGCAGGCTGTATTTGCATCCAGACCACACTAGGTAACACTCACATGTGATGCTGATCCTCTATGATTGAAAGAACTGAAATCCAATGAATGAAAGGGGTAAGCAAAGGGCAGCCAGGCTGGGGAGAAAATCGCTAGATGATGCTGGACATCACCCAACCAGGAAATGAGGGGGGGCTTTGTAATGCACATTATGAGAAGCTCACGGTGTGCAGTGAAATCAGAGGAAGCCATTTCAGTCCAGGAGAGGAGCCGGTACAACTGTGCAAGACTGAAGGGAAGGCTGGAGCTCAGTTTTAACTTCTGTATGACATAACATATCAAAAGCAAAATGGAATTGGACCGGCACAGAGTCAAAGATATGACAATCTAAATATCGGACTACAGAAGTAAAAAATAATGCACTTTTTTTAGTTTTATCTACATTCATGGGTACCTGATGAACATTATCAGGGTTATTCACAAAAGGGTGAAGGGTTTGGAGAAGGCAGGAGAAGTGAACAATCTAGGACAACTGGAAAGGGAGCTGAATTCTGTCCTAGATTGTTCACTTCTCCTGCCTTCTCCAAACCCTTCACCCTTCTGTGAATAACCCTGTATATAAGACACAATTGTTTTTTATAGGAATCAATGCATTAGAAATAACTCATTGATTCCAGTCACCAACACAACATTATAATAGAAAACATTTCAAAACAATTTCCCAAAATGTTATCACATTTTAGAAAACTTGTGACAAATTATGCAATATATTCACATTTCATTTTTTTCTTTCGTTTAATATAAATGTCCCCTCAAAGGCCAACTTCTCCCACATAGCTAAAATGTTACAGTTGTCACCAGAACAGGATGTCAGGGGAAATCTTAAAATGTGGTCTCCTGGTTCCAGTGACACATGTGATTTCCCTTATTTTGGAGAGATTTACACATACTGTACTTCCTGCTGCATCTTTCGGACAGGAAGTGAAGGTGAATCTCTCTAATGACACACAAACAGCAAAAAAAAACCTGACAGGGTTTAACTACAACCTAACTCGTTCAGCTAATTAAATAAAAACATTTTGACTGGATAGACACTTTAATGCACATGCCCTACCACTGGTGTGGCAGCACAACATTAGCAAGGTGACCAACGTTTTGAGAACCCATCTTCCTGCCCATCAGCTCTGCAACTGAAACGCCCACTTCAAGCCTAATTTCAGCAGTCAGCCTGAGTTTGACATTTCAGTATGAAGACAGGTTTTTGGTAAATATGATTGGTGATTCCAAAGTGAATCAAAGCGTGGCTTTATTTGTTGGTCTCCAGCTGTTCAGAAAAATGTCTGAATGAGTCCACTTGTGTTGTTGAAGCCTATAAGGACCCATTAACACTTAAGCATTCCTTTGCAGTACATTAATGCACACATTGTATTATGAATGGGCTTCTAGTTCATTATGAATGGGCTTTTAATGCACCAAATGGATGAAATAACATGCATGTGCCCTGTTTTTACCAATACGGTATATGTGCTGTGGCGTGCTGTGGCCCTTTGTTCCATCTGGCTCTACTGTACAATGCAATTGGGAGCCATTTACAATGAATGACACCAAAATGCACTGCACCAAAAGCAGGCGTGTTGCCATGTGTGGTGGCCACCAAGACTCATTTTAGCATGTGTTTTAACACGCAACACACAATGCCAATGCGTTCCTGATGTTTTTCAAGATGCAACAGACAAAAGTGAGACATGTTAGGCCAGATCCAGGTTAACCAGACCACCCAGAAAATGCCAGTTCCCCATTAGCATGCAGTCTTTTTTCAATTGCTCTCGGACCCCTTGGATTCTATGCCAAGAATCGTACCTTCCACGTGGAGTCACATGGAGATCCAACTTTCTGCCACTCTAAATTTTATTGTAAAAAAAGTAGCTATCAACCTATGAGCTTACAAGCAGTGATGCTGAATCATCCCTGCCCATCTCAGATACCATTTGACATAAAAGAATTACCTTCATGGTAATGGACAATCTCAAAACTCCTACATGTGTTGCCTTCCTCAAGTTCCTTATAAACCCTCATCTATTTATTGTTAAAGAATATGTACGGACAAATAAAAAAAAAAAATTCCCCATGTTTTATCCCTTTAAAAATAAAAAATGCCTGATCACCCTACCAGAATCCAGTAACTTGCTGCTGCGGGCTAAAAGCATTGTCTCTGTTGAAGTGAAATCTCAAGCAGCATTGTCAACCCAGTCCAGTTCCATTCTTCCGGACAATAGAACTCTGTTGTATTAATTGATTTTTTTCCTGTAAGGTAATGCTGCTGCTGTCTTGACCTCCAAGTGCCTACCCATTTTCTGTTCATAGGGTCTCTTGGGAACTCTCAGGGAAGGTACTTATGTATAATAGGAACTGATTCAGAGCACCATGATAATCCCTCCTCCTGGGAGTTGCCGAAATCCAGTGAGTTTGTAACTTCCTACTATGGACTGAAAACATTACCTCTGTTGCACTGAAATCTCAAGCAGCATTAGCAACCCCGCCCAGTTCTATTCTTCCAGACTACAGAGCTCCACCTATCTTGACTCCTCTCTGCCCCTTTCCACATGTATTAATTGATTTCTTCCCTGTATAACAATACTGCTACTGTCTTAAATCTGAAATGCCTAACCCAAATGCTGTTCAAAGAGTCTCTTGGGAATCCTCAGGGGTGGTGTCTATGTAAATAGGAAGTGATGTAAGGCTAATCCCTCCTCCTAGGCGCTGCCTGTGCAAAAACTTTACAAGCTTGGCGATAATGTCACAGTAATAAAAAAAAAGCTTCTTGCTAAAAGAGATAGGTAAAAGTTTAAAATAAGGCTAGAAGGGGAGAAGGAGGCGTAGGGAGACATGTAGGTGATGCCTGGAGATCACCTTTAAACATTTGAGACAATAAACAAAGTACATAATGATATCTTGTGTTACAAAGATTTCTTGTCTACAAAGATTTACTCAACTTCAAAATGTAACATTGTCTGTATTGTTGTGAGTTCCTCCAGTTGTGTTGAGTCTTGTGTTGATTGTAGCACAGGCTCTATTTACCACTGAGGTTGGCTGGTTTACAATCAGTTCATCCTTGAATATTATTTTTCACTCCCACCTTTCCAGCACATCAGATGCTATCGAGCTTTGAGTTGCCAACAGAATAACCTTCAACGAATTATGGTTCCATTCCATACGGCTCTGTTTTGTGGTTGAAGTATGGCATGTGTAATGGTTCTCTTCCGCTTCCAGTTCTGTCCATAAAGGAAACACATCAAGGCTTGTTAGTGCGGCATTTCCTCAAACACTGTTTTGAAAACTTGAGTAATTGATTTCTTTACCATGTCCTTGAACTCTCGACCGATGAAAACATAGAGTATAGGGTTGATACAGCTATTGAACATAGCTAAACATTTGGACAACGGTACAGCCACCAGGCTGACCAGCAGTGGTAGGCCACCTAGAAATACTCGGGCCAGTGCCAGGGCATGATAAGGGAGCCAACATAAAAAAAACGAGAAGACCACCCCGGTGACCACCAAAAAGGGCTTGCTGGAACGGTTTAGCTTTTTCCTGCGTAGAGTTATTAAAAGAATTGCGTAAGAAATAAGAATAACACACAACGGAACTAAAAACTGGTAGAGAAAAATGCAAACGGTGAATATAGCCGCTTCCCTTTTTTCCCAGTCCTCGAAAACATCCAAGTTCTTGCAAGAGCTCCTGTTACTTTCTGTAGACATCTCCGAAAGGGTATAAGATCCAGGAACCAGGGCAATGGAAATGATCCAAATCACCACGCACGTTGTCATCACCAGTCTTGGATTGCGGTAATTTTGACACCAGACTGGGAAAAGAACAAGGACGCATCGATCGATGCTGATAGCGCTCAGTAGAAGGATGCTGGCATAGATGCTGAGGCCAAAGATGCAGTTGACAAGCTTGCACAGGACAGGCCCAAAGGGCCAGTGCAGGTCCAATAATAAATAAAGAACGGTAACCAAGACCAAACAGGTCGAGATAAAATCAGCCAAGGCCAGGTTGAAAAACCAGACAGTGTTGATAGTTCTTTGCAGTCGGCATCCGGTGATCCAGATGACGGTGCCATTTCCCATCATGCCCAGTAGGAAAATTAAACTGAAGGTCACAGTGGCAATCACCTGCACGGTATAGCGCAGTTCAGCTGTTTCAGCATCTGTAGTGAAATTCATCACGTGAATGAGGTCACCAAACGGGATTCCTAAGAGAAAAACATAAGTTGATTATTCAACACTGAATTACAATTTCTAGAAACTGGTTTATGCTGCTAATAAAGTGCACCTGTCTTTTTTTTGTACAGGATTAGGACTTAAAAATACAACTAGGTTCTTTTTTACACTATTTTCCAGTTTCCTTACCCAAAAGAAAAATGATGTACACAGTGCTCAGTAGCTAAAGGTCAAATTTGCACATACAAATAAATAAGTCGGAGCATTAACTCATATCTTATCATACAACAAGCTTGACTTTTCAAAAATACTCTAAAATCCTTCTTAAGGGGGAAAACCAGGAATAGTTTGTAACATTTATGGCTCATAACTAAACTATAGGTGTGCTTCTATCGTGCATTAGAAAACCATTACCGAAGTGTATTAAAGCACAACTGGGCAGCACAGTGGTGTAGTGGTGTAGTGGTTAGCACTTCTGCCTTGCAGCACTGGTTTGAATACTAGTCAGGTTACTATCCACAAGGAGTTTGCATGTTCTCCCTGTGCTTGTGTGGGTTTCCTCCCCCACTCCAAAGACATGCTGGAAGGTTAACTGGTTAACTGAATTTTAAACTACTATGATACAGCGCCACCTCTTGGCCGAGTGCAGTAAGTATCACTGTGTATTTTGCATTCAAAGTTGTTTGTTTAGCTATGTGTAGGATTTTGGTACCATACTTTCACTGCAGTTTAATGAAAATACATGCACCAGCAAGATTCACCAGCAGTACACCCCCTAGGCATGCTTGGGACTACTGATACTATTTTTTTTAATGCATCTCTAAGGATTTTTTAGTTAGTTTTAAATGGTGTGGGGAAGGACTAGGCACTCCATCAACTTTTTTTTCTGTCTGTGTCCCCATGGTGGAGCTTCACCTGTTTATTTATACTTGGCGGCCGCAAAGGATCTTGGGGCGGGCGCCTGCACACTTCAGATGTTCGGCCGGGAGACGAGGAGAGACACAAGGTAAGTCTATGGAGCAGCGTGCACCCGCAAAGACTCCGTGGGACATGAGTGAAGAGGAGGATAGAGGAGTCAGCATTGGATTGGAGACCCGCACCAGCGTCGGAGGGACATCTGAAAAGGCAGTAAAGAAGAAGATGATCGGATTATGAGACATCATTTAAGTTAAGTCCCTACAGCAGGATTGGGAAGGGGGAAAAAATTTTGACTTTAATGTCACTTTAAGAGGGAATGCAGATAAAAGGTACTTTTTCCCTGTACAGTTTAGACACAACTAAAATGTCTGAATGTAAATATAACACTTTTTGAGTTCAATTCTACTATAAAATAAATAAACCAATCATATCTTCCAAAAGATACCAACACACCACGCATGCAACCTGGTATTTCAATGGCAGCAAAATTAAGAATAACACAGAAGGGAATGGTCGGAAAAAAAATACTTAGGAGAAGACGCGGACCATTAATATGTAATAGATTAGATATGCAAATAGTTCTTTCTGCATATTTTATTAGACTGCGTATTGAATATCTTAAACTAATCGACTGACTGATTTGACGTTATTGTCTTTCAGCATGAAAACAGATCCTCGCACGGCTTGGCATCTGGGTTTGATTTTGCATGATGTCGTTATGTTAATAAATATTAGGGAAAATATGGTGCTAACTCGCTTGCAAACAAGTACACAATAAGCAGATCGCAGGACAGATGCCAAACCAATGGTCACATATTGCATTCATCTTGTTATAGTTACGCAACATGTTCTGTAATCAGCTTTATATATGTTCGCAGACATCCTGCTCCCAGGCTGGAATTAAATATACATAAATCTTAATAACAGCCTAAGCATACATTTCTTATGTATATAACGTCATCGTACACAAGCTTGGTTGGGAAATTAAACATGCAAATGAGTTGAAATGTTCACAGTGGATTTTTTTGGTGGCTCTAAATTTACTGACAATTGATAAAAGTCAGAATCATTTGAACAATGATATATGTATGAAGTTTTAATGATCATGGCAGACCTTATAGTACAAGTTTACCTTTAAAAAAAAAAATCCCTGAACCCTTCTCCTTGGTCCCTTCAATATACATAGCAGTGCCCTCCTAGCCACCCACCCATTTTCCCCAGCAGGTCCGTACCTACCTCCTTCAATGGCTGCAGCCTTCCCTACTGTACCATGATTATACCGCAATGTCTGGGAGACACAGCTATGTTGAACTTGTATTTCATAAGATCATAAGATCATTTCATTTTTGTTGTTAAATATACTAATCAGCCATAACATTATGACCACCTGACTAACATTGAGTAGGTCCCGCTTTTTGCCACCAAAACAGCCCTGACCCGTTGGGGGTGATTTACTAACCTAAACACATGCACGCACCAGGTGCGTGTGATTTTCACACAGCAAAACGTATTTATCAACCAAAACGTCTCTAAAAGCATATTTCCACTAATGCCATATATGGAAAAATTATGCACATGATGCATATATAATGCTGCTTCACAGTTTAGACAAAAATGGTTAGCTCATGCATTTACATTCCTGCATTCATCAACGCAAGCAACACAATGTAGAGCTAATTTACACAACATCACCTTGCAATTCATGCAAGGCTTTGCACAACACACCTGCTGGGTGTGTACACACTACAAAGGTGTCTAGATTCCACCAATAGATCATGCTGGGAGGGAACACACTACAGAGGTGTATACATGTTCGTGGTGTGTTTATAAGGTTAGTAAATCAACCCCAAGGACTCAGTTAGACCTCTGAAGGTGTGCTGTGGTATCTGGCACCAAGCCGTCAGTAGCAGATCCTTAAAGTCCTGTAAGTTGGGGACTTTGTGGATCGGACTTGTTTTTCCATGGCCTTGGCCACCCATGACGCTGTAGCCTGTTCACCGGTTTTCCTTTCTTGGACCAATTTTGGTAGGCCCTAACTATTGGAGACCGGGAACATCCCAGAAGAGCTGCAGTTATGGAGTTGCACTGACCTACACGTCTAGTCATCGCAATTTGGCCCTTGTTAAAGTCCCTCAAATCCTCACACTTGTCCATTTTGTCTGCTTCCAACACATCGACTTCAGGGACAAAATGTTCACTTGCTTCCTAATATATCGCCCCCACTTCTCTGTGTCATTGTCATATACCCCCCTCCCCCCACTTCCAGGTGTCATTGTAACACGATAATCAATGTTATTCACTTCAGCTCTCAGTGATCATAATGTTATGACTAGACATGTGCACTGCCAAAAAATTCGTTTAGTTTCGTTTCGTTTTAAATTCGGATTTGTGTTATTTCGTTTTTCGGGATTCGGGTGTGAAAGTCAATTCGGATTCGGATTTGGACGAAATTCGGTAGCGGTAGTTCGAACGTTCGTTTCGTATTCTGTTCTTATTCGTTTCTTATTCGTTTCGTTCGTTCGTCTCCTTCTCTAATGTCACTTTGCTCCAACGAACGAAACGAATAAGAAACGAATAAGAAACGAATAAAGAACAGAATACGAAATGAACGTTCAAACTACCGCTACCGAATTTGGGAAATGGAAATTCGGATTCGTTTGCATTCGTTATGTCTGTAATTCGGAATTCGGATACATCCGAATGTCCGAATTTCCGAAAATTCTTCCGAATTTCGATTCGGAACGAAACGAATTGCACATGTCTAGTTATGACTGATCGGTGCATAAGGTTGTTAGCATTAGGATTAGCATTATGGTTCCCTGCTCCTCATGCATGGTTCCCTGCTGCTGTTCTTGGAACAAGAAAGGATCCAATATTGTTGAAAGGAGCTTCTTCAACCCTCAACAATCATTTAAGGTCCACTGTATAATCACAAATCCTAAAAACCAGTCTTTCCCACTGACTTCAATGCATTCCACCAAAATTTCAGTGAAAAATTCAGATTTTTAATCAAAATTTTAGTGAAGTGAAAACATCCAATTTTTTTTCATCTTTACTACCTCTCTACTAAAGCAAATCTTGCATGTAGTCAGCTTATAACTTATTTAATTC